TTGGTGCAGAGGCTGGATGTCACATGCCTTTTGGTGCAGAGGCTGGACGTCACATGCCTTTCAGGGACTCCTGTTACCCAAGGGCAGAAAGACATGCAGGGTTCTGAAAACTGAGATTGTTTCGTACTTTTGGTCCCTCCGTTGCCAGCTAAATCCTGCTTTATGGAAGTGGGTGATAATTTACTGGCTGTTTACTGAGGAAAGTAGGAAGCCGGAAAGCCCCTTTCCTGAGTCCTGAGGGTCTCATCCCACAGAGTCGGATGAGCCGCACCCTTCGTCCTGCCAGCGCAGCCCTTGGCATGGATGCTGCGGGTCCATCTTTGCTGGTGGGGCTGATACTGCACCTGCCACGTTGCCAGTTCCCGTGCTGGCCTGCTGTTCCCCGCCGCGATGGGGACATCATCTCTTCTGATTCCGTCTTCATCTGCATGGTTCAGTGACCAGGACCCTCTGTTTGGTTCTTGCAGGGCATGTCTGTAGTGTCTATCATTATTTTAATTACCATGGACTTCCAAGCCGTCAGAATAAAATTGCTGGCTCACTGAAAGTACAAGAAGCCTGTGTTGGCCTTTTATCTAGGAGTTACACAGTGACATTTGATTGGGTCACAGGATTTCTGTGCCAGGCTGACAAGCTGAGAGTCAGCAAGTTATTTTATGACATTAACTATTTCCCTCGCTGCACGAAGACCTGTGCTCGGCAGACCTGGGAGCCTGCCCAAGGGGTCGGTGGAGGCTCGGCCAGCTGATCTGTGCCATGGCTTGTCCTGTGGATGTGCAAGGCGGGCCTTCTGCTTTCAGCCGGGGTCCCAAGGTGCCCATGCTGCTCACAAGGAGAGGCCGTGGCCCTGGGGGCACAGCAGGGCGTCTCCTGCAGCTGCACAGACGTCACCGGGGAGGCCAGTGCTTGGCCCTGGGAGGGCAGCTCACCACAAGGAAGGATGTCGCTGCGGCCACACGGTCTGTGGAGTCGGGTTCATGTGTGAGAGTCAGGGCAAATCTCATGGAGGAAGGGACGGAAGGTTGCTGTCTTTGAAGTTAGACAGAGTTGGAAGAAAACGTTGGATTTCTGGATTCTGAATTCTTCTTCTCTCACCCTCCACCGTCCCGACTGGTCACCAGTGGTGGCGTTTGTTCAGGAAGTCGGCGGTCTCGCTGCAGCAGAAACGTGGCGGGAGCATGTGGCCTCACTCCCGACTTGCATCAGGAAGCAGCCTGGAGTCTTCTGATGAGCCCTCCCGGCCGCCTGGTTGCCGCCACCTCATGTCCCCCATTCCATGCACAGGAGCGGTCGCCAACGTTCGTCTCAGGTCTTTGCCTGGACATAAGTTTTCATTTCTCCTAGTTAAATCCCTAGGAGTGGAGTTGCTGGGTCACGTGATAAGTGTGTATCTAAATTTATAAGGAGCTGCCAAACTGTCCCAGTGGCTCCGCATCTCCCTCAGCGCTCAGCACTGTACGGTCCCCTCCCGCCGCGCAGCACCTCACCCCACACTCGGCCGCTGGCCCGGGTTCTGTGGGTCAGGAGTCTGGTCAGGGTCCCTCCCGAGGCTTCGTGAAGGTCTCGCCAGGGCTGCTGCTGTCTCAAGCCTTGACGGGGAGGATCTGCTCCCAGCCCCACTCACGTGCAGGTCGGCGGAATCCAGTTCCTTGCGGGATGTTTGCTGGAGGCCTCCCGAGGCTCCCGGCCACGTGGCCTCTCCACAGGGCAGCTGACAGTGTGGCAGCCACTTCCCTCAGGAGTGAGCGGGGGCGAGAAGGATGGGCCACGGTCTTTCAGTGACCTTACCTCAGAAGTGGGACCCATTGCTACTGGCATGTTCTGTTCATTAGCAGGGAGTCAGCAGGCCCAGGCCATACCTGATGGGGGGACTGTAGGGGATCATGGGGCCACCACAGAGCTGCTGCCACTCGTGGGTATGTACAGGTGACTGTGAGGTTGCAGTTTGCATTTCCCGGGTGACCAGTGATGCTGAACACCTTGTCATTGCTCCTCGGACATCTGAGTGTCTTCTTTTGTGAAGGGTCTACCCACGTCTTGCCTGGTCTTAATCTCACCGAGCGCAGGGATTCTGACCTGTTCTGGACAGGCCGTTACCTGCTGTGCGTTTTGCACGTATTTTCTCCCAGTGCAAGACTTGCCTTTTCATTTTCTTAATTATCTCTTTTGAAGAGAAAAGCCTTGAAAGTTTAGTGAAGTCCAACTTATGGATGTTTTTCTTTTATAGTTCATGCCTTTGGATCCTGCCTAAGAAATCTGTGCTTACCTTTAAGATCATAGAGATTTTTCTCCTGCATGTATTTCTAGAGACTTTACGGTGTGAGCTTTTACGTTTACTCCTCTGATCCATTTTGCAGTAATATCGATATATGGCGTGAGGTAGGGGTCAGTGTTCATTTGTTACTATGGATACCCAGTTGCTTCAACATCATTTGTTAAAAAGACTGTCTTTCCCCCATCTGGTCACCCTTGATGGCTTTGTCAAAAATGCATAGACAATGTTTGTGTGGCTCCATTTCTGGACACTTATCTCTGTTCCGTTGGCCTGTCTCTGTCCTTCTGGGCACCGCACTGCCTCGATTGCTGTGGCTTCATAAACAGTCTTGAAAACAGGTGGAGTCAGGCTTCCTTCTCTGTTTCAAAATTAGTTTGGCTGCCAAAACGTTTTGGCTGCATTTCCTTATGAATTTTGGAGTCAACCTGTTAATTTCTACGAAAAGCCTGTGGCAACTTCGTTCAGGGTTGTGTGGAATCCATGGAATGATCAAAGTGGGATCCAAATTCTGACTCGCCCACTTCACACACGTAGACCCCGAGTAACAGGACGCCGTTCGTCTGCTCCCCTGCTTTTGCGTTTTTATTTTCATGTATTTTACTTATAAGTATGATATAAATTCCACCTTATGATATATGCCATCCTTTTCTCTTTAAACAATTTATTGTCACTTATGGGCATTGACCGGACAATGCACCCGGTGTGCTGTGGTCCCCACTCGTCTGCCACGTGCGGTGCCCTCTCCTGCTGCCCCACACCAGGGCTCCGACGGCTCGGACTTCCTTGCAGCATTCCTTGCAGTGCAGGTCTGCCGGCCTTGGCTTTGCTAAAAATGTCCTGATTTCACCTTTTTTTAAAAAAAGGTATTTTCACTGGGTATGAAATTTTGGGTTGATAGGATTTTTCTTTTAGCCCTTTAAAAACGTCATTTCTTTATTTCAGTTTCCATTATTTATGATAAGTCCGCTGTCATTTGTATTGCTGTCCCTCGTATGTGAGATCTTTTTTCTCTGCTGCTTCCAAGATTTCCTATAATCTTTCTGTCTGTCTTCCTCTCTCTCTCTCTCTCTTTCTGTCTGTCTGTCTCTCTCTCTCTTTTTTGGCGGCTGGCTGGTACAAGGATCTGAACCTGTGACCTTGGTGGTATAAGGCTGTGCTCTAACCACTGAGAAAACCCGCCAGCCCCAGATTTTGTGTAGTTTTTCATCATTTTGACTAGGATGTGCCTAGGTGTGGATTTATTTGTATTTGTCCTACTTGGAGTTTGCTAAGCTTATTGGACGTGAAAGTCAGATTTTTTCATCACATTGGGGGGAAAGTTTTGGTCATTGTTTGTTTATATAGTGAATTTCCATCTCAATAGTCATCTCTCCTCCATCTGAGGCTGCAGTGACGTGAATGGTGGGTGGCTTCATATTGTCCCACAGCTCGTGAGACTCTGTTCCGTTATCCTCAGTTCTTTTTCTTTTCTGTTCTTTGTTACCTCTGGTTGCAAGATGTGCAGAAATGCTGGAGGGCCATAGAGACACCTACTCGTATTGAATGTTGGCACACTCTGGAGAACTGTGTCGGTCCTCAGTGTGGGGAGCAGCGGGAGTGGACTGGCATTGGAGGCTGAAGGAGGTGCCAAGTGCCCCGAGGTGCTGGGCCCCACCATGCAGCCCGGGCTGCTTGTTCTGATGTCTCAGGCTTGATTGAAACTGGAAGAAACCAATGTCAAAATGTCCTTAAGAAACGTAAGCTCAGAAAGTGATATGATTCCAAATTACCCTGGAAAAAGGTGTTGCCTTCATATCTGGAGGTGGCCTGACTGGTCTGGGGTGGAAGGGGTGGCCGCCAAGTTGAGTCCCAGGCGTCTCCAGACCTCCGTTCAGAGGGGGTCCATTGCATTCTCCTGATTCCTTTGGCTCTGCCACTTCTAATCATTGTACAGTTCTCTGTTGACAGCTAGAATGCAGTGCACACCTGGGGTGGACCTTTCTCCCCTTTCCAAAGATTTAGAGTCAAGTTACAAATATAAAAGGAAGAAGTCGAGTTCCAGCAGTAACTTTGAAGGGAGATGAAATTGTCACGGGACGTCTGGAGCCAGTCTGCATGGCAGGGACACGGTGTCTTCAGAATCTCAGTTGAACAGCGAACACGCACCGTGAAAAGCCTGCAGTGGCTTAGGCACGGCCAGTGAAATCTTGAAGCAGATAAACGTGGGGTTCTCTTGAAGCAGGTGTCGGGAAGGGCTCCCGGCTCCCAGGGCTTCTCGGCTGCCTCGATCGCTGTCGTGGGCGCCACCTTTGTCCGGGCCTTCGCCTTTGGTGCCCTGCTAGGTGTTTGCACGTTGGATGCCTTGACTCACCTTTCCTGGCTCTTTGTTGGAAACTCTCCAGGGTTTGGTTTTTGTTCTCAAAGTGTGTTTAGAAACAACATCCTAAAATGTCAGTTCTGGAAGTCTTGTACGAGGTCGGCCCAGAGGCCCCGGAGGTCAGTGGCTTGTCTGGGCACCTGGAGCGAGTGGCCTCACCCCCAAGTGTGCGGCTCCTTCCTGTGCCGTCCTCACCCCAGGGAGCCCCTGGTGGCCGGGAGGGGAGGGCTGTTTCTCAGGGGCCTCCCAGGCGCTGCTGGGTCTGTTTCTCCGGCTCCCTGGTCCGCCGTGTGGATTGGTTATGAAAGCGGTGTCAGGGCCCACAGGGTCACCTCTCTGTCCTCCCCCAGGTCGGGTCTCTTTCTTCACCTCGGGGTCTGAGAACCTGCACCGGGTGGAGAAGGTCCACTGGGGCACCCGCTACGCCGTCACCATCGCCTTCACCTGCAACCCCGACCACGGCATTGCAGACCCAGCATTCACGTAGCCGAGCTGGCGCCAAGGACGTCTGCAGGGCCTGTCCACGGCACCTCCGGGACCATGCGACACGCGCCCCGCGTGCCTCCCATCTCCGCCATGCCCACTGCACAGAGTGCCTTAGGAATCGCCCCGAACTGGGACTTGCTGGTGTTCGATCTTTCCGTCCCCGAGTGAATTACGAGCCAGCTTTCCGCTTCGTCAGCATCGCGTCTTTGACCTGGGTGACCGAGGCTGGCCGTGAGCCCCAACACAGCCCCTCCTCGGGAAAGGGGTTCACCCGAGCCTTGTCTTAATGCAGAAGCCGCCCTGGCCTGTCGAGGACCAACTTTTAAATGGGCACAGTGCACGTGTGGGGCCCGTTGCTTCCTCTCGGGGCTGCAGAATCAGCCAAGTGCAGCCACTCTGGAGAAGGTTCCAGTGAGCGGGGCTCTGGGAGCCACCGCAGGCTTCCCTCTGGGGTGGGAGCGGCGGTTCTACTGCTGTCGAGGTGGAGACAGACATCTGCCGTCCCAGCGGCCGACTTTGCGCCCCCAGCCTGACGGTCCCTGAGAATCCGTCACCCTAGGCATGACATGGTCACAATGCTGGGCCCTGCCCCATCACCGGCCAGTGTCCCCGATGGTCGGGGTCCAAGTGCACCCCGTCGAGGAGGTTCTCAGTGTCTGTCCTCAGCTCCTGTGGGCCTTCTGCCCAGCCAAGGCTCTGTCTGGTTGTCCCCTTCCTCGTCCTGCTGCTGTCCCTGCCTTTCACATTAAAGTTTTGGAGCAGCTGTAAACAGACCAGGGGGCAGCCTGAGGGGAGCGGCACAGCCATCAGCCCAGCCTCTGCCAGGCTTGCATGTGGTCTCACTGCTGCCCTGTGCAGCAGCTGTCCTGGGGTTTGAGCCCCGTTCCTGGGAGAAGGACTGACCACCCACCGTGAGTGCAGTCGGAGTCCTGGGAGTGGCTCTGGGAACTGGGTTCTCCCGGCCACAATGACCAGGCTGCCTGGGAGGAGCTGCAGGCACACCCCCTGTCTGCCCACCTGGCATGGATGCCTGGACACATGCCTCCAGTGCAGCACCCCCAACCCTGGAGGAGGCGCCACTCTTGGGCACCTGCAGCCCCTGAGTCTTTCAGCCCAGGGACTGCTCTGGGGGTTTATAGAGAAAGGGGACTGCTCCTGGACCCCTGGGTGTGAGTGCGTGTGAGGCCAGCTGAGGCACCACGAGGTGGGAAGCCGAGGATCCTGGCCCGCGCCTCGGGCAGGGCCCTGCACTCATGCCGGGGGCTGCGCTTCCAGGTGCAGGAAGGGTGTGGAAGGCGCTCCCAGCACCTGCCTGCGGCCGGCAGGTTCCACTCTGGACAGGAGGGCGCTCTGGTGTGCACAGGGCAGCAGGAGCCCTTCCCAGTCAGGGCTGGGGCTTGGGCAGGTGGGGGCAGTCGGCCAAGGCCGCGCGTCGCCCCCACCTCGCCCTCCTGAGCAGGACACTTGGGCAGATCTGGGAAGGGTGGGGCCGAGCTCTGGTCAGAGGGTGGGGCTGTCCCTCCAGGCCAGCTGCTTCACGCGCTCTCTAGGGTAGGCCCGCGCTGCCCAGTCCCGGTAGGAAAGCTGCCCCACCCCCATCTGAGTTGTCCCTGGGCTTTTACCAGTCTCGATTTTCCAGAGCTCCTGTTGCTGTGGTCACAGTTGAGATGGGCAGAGAGAGCTGCGTGGGAGCCCAGTCTCGTCCTGTCTCCACAGCCAGCTTTGAGCCAGCCCTCGTGGTATGTGCAGGTCACTGCTTGGTGCCACCTGCAGGGTCATGGCCCGGGTCCAGAGCGTGTGGGTTTCTGCTGCCCTTGGGGCCTCTACCTTCTCACCTGTGGGGGGAGGTCCGGCCACTCTTTACCCAACTCAGGGGAGGAGGAGTGGCAGTTAGGTGGGGACAGGCCACAGGGCAGGTCGAAGCCACAGAGGAAGAAAAGGAGGAGGTTTCTGGAAGGGCCACTTGGCCAGCGATGGAGACATGGAATTTCTACCTCCTCGGCTGGGGCCAAAGCTGGGCTCAGGGTCTGCCTTGGGTGGGGGGAGTGTCACTGCAGTTGTCCTAGCAACTAATGAGGGACAGTCCCAGGAGGGTGCTCATGTCTTCCAGCGATCGGCCCCTGGGTGGGCCACAGTGAAGTGGCCCTTTTAACACGATTCCAGCCCATTTCATACTGACCCACAGGTCAGGACTTTGCAGAGAACCGGTCATCTGGTTTCTTCCCCTGTAGGTGTTGGAACCGGATTAAACGGCCTGTGTGTTCCACGTCAGTGCTCGAGCAATGCGTAGGGTCTCCCCACAGTCCTGTTCTTTTAATCCTGAAGTTGCCTCGTTTTAACATTTGCCCCTCGAGCATGTCGCACGAAAAGCCAGGGGACAAGAGCCTGGACAGCCATTGCTCCACGTGAGCAGCGCTGGCATCGCGCTCAGGGCTTTGCCTCCACACTTAGAGACGGACCTGGTTCAGGAGGAGCTCAAAGACCCAAGAGATGCCACCTGGCCCTGTCCCAGGCCCACCATACACCACACTCTCTGCGTTCCGTCCGTGCATTGCCGGCAGCTCAGGGCTTTGCCTCCACACTTAGAGACGGACCTGGTTCAGGAGGAGCTCAAAGACCCAAGAGATGCCACTTGGCCCTGTCCCAGGCCCACCATACACCACACTCTCTGCGTTCCGTCCGTGCATTGCCGGCACCTGCTCTTCAAGGGAGTGCCCGGGAGCCTGAGCAGCGCCCTTGCCTGGCCCATCCTGTGCAGCCCCCGCCCAGTCCCCGTCCAGCCTCTGTCCAGCCTCCATCCAGTTCCCATGCAGCCCCCGTCCATCCCCCGTCCAGCCTCCATCCAGCCCCTGTCCAGTCCCCGTCCGGCCTCCGTCTGGCCTCCATCCTGCGTCTGTGTCCTACGTCTGTGTCCTGCATCTGTGTCCTGCATCTGTCCTGCGTCTGTCCTGCGTCTGTGTCCTGCATCTGTCCTGTGTCTGTGTCTTGCATCTGTGTCCTGCATCTGGCCTGCGTCTGTGAGCTGGAGCTCTCCACCCTGCCTGCTGTTCCTGGGTTGTGCCACCTCGGGGATTCACCTGTCCCCTCCTGTGCCCCTCAGTAAAGAACAGACAGAGGTGGGCAGGGGCACTCAGGAAGGGCCTGGGAGGGGCGGAGGGAGCAGAAGAGGAACGAGGGTGGACACCGTGTGGTCACAGCACACTCGGGGGTTCCTGGGCCAGGTCTCATCCCCTTCGAAAGGTGGGCGAGTCCCAGTGGGCTGGGAGGGTCCGAACTTGGGGGACGCTTGTAATGTCCTGACCCTGACCTCCCACCCATGTCCCACCTGGCCCTCTGACCCCCGGGACCCTTCACCAGGCCCTCATTCCCAGCAGTCCTAACCTGCGTGTTTATTTCAAGTGTGTGGGGTCTCACCTCCCCCACTGCACCAACCCCAGGGTGGCCGCACGTGTGCAGGGGTGCAAGGCACATGTCCCCCCCAGAAGGTAGCCCAGAGCCCTTGGCCCAGGTCAGGCTGCTGGTGCCCTGACCTGCTTCCCGTCCGCTCCTGCTGCCTGGCCTGGCATGTTGTGGGGCTCACACTGTCCAGGTTCGTGGCCATGGGCTGGGGGTGGGAGGGGCAGGGTGGGGGTGGAGGCTGAGGGCAGAAATGGAGGTGCCCCTCCCCCATCAGGCCTGGCCCTCAGCCCCCCGGGAGGAGTTCTAGCTTGGGCTGGCCAGCTCTGGCTGCCAGCACACAGGGTGGGGCTCGGGGCAGCAGGGCCTCTGTGCTCCACGCTGACGCATAGTTCTGGGGTGAGACACAGGCTCTGTGCTGTCAATCACGCTGCGGGTGCCGGAGGCCACCAAGGGTTAGGGTAGCCCCTGCCAGACAGGCAGAAGGCCTGGTGTTCCTGGCTCATGGCCCCAGAGGACACATCCCAGCCCAACACCCTGCATGGGCCTATGAGTCACAGGCACCTGCACATGTCCAGCGCCTCCCCATGNCGAAAAGCCAGGGGACAAGAGCCTGGACAGCCATTGCTCCACGTGAGCAGCGCTGGCATCGCTCTCAGGGCTTTGCCTCCACACTTAGAGACGGACCTGGTTCAGGAGGAGCTCAAAGACCCAAGAGATGCCACCTGGCCCTGTCCCAGGCCCACCATACACCACACTCTCTGCGTTCCGTCCGTGCATTGCCGGCACCTGCTCTTCAAGGGAGTGCCCGGGAGCCTGAGCAGCGCCCTTGCCTGGCCCATCCTGTGCAGCCCCCGCCCAGTCCCCGTCCAGCCTCTGTCCAGCCTCCATCCAGTTCCCATGCAGCCCCCGTCCATCCCCCGTCCAGCCTCCATCCAGCCCCTGTCCAGTCCCCGTCCGGCCTCCGTCTGGCCTCCATCCTGCGTCTGTGTCCTACGTCTGTGTCCTGCATCTGTGTCCTGCATCTGTCCTGCGTCTGTCCTGCGTCTGTGTCCTGCATCTGTCCTGTGTCTGTGTCTTGCATCTGTGTCCTGCATCTGGCCTGCGTCTGTGAGCTGGAGCTCTCCACCCTGCCTGCTGTTCCTGGGTTGTGCCACCTCGGGGATTCACCTGTCCCCTCCTGTGCCCCTCAGTAAAGAACAGACAGAGGTGGGCAGGGGCACTCAGGAAGGGCCTGGGAGGGGCGGAGGGAGCAGAAGAGGAACGAGGGTGGACACCGTGTGGTCACAGCACACTCGGGGGTTCCTGGGCCAGGTCTCATCCCCTTCGAAAGGTGGGCGAGTCCCAGTGGGCTGGGAGGGTCCGAACTTGGGGGACGCTTGTAATGTCCTGACCCTGACCTCCCACCCATGTCCCACCTGGCCCTCTGACCCCCGGGACCCTTCACCAGGCCCTCATTCCCAGCAGTCCTAACCTGCGTGTTTATTTCAAGTGTGTGGGGTCTCACCTCCCCCACTGCACCAACCCCAGGGTGGCCGCACGTGTGCAGGGGTGCAAGGCACATGTCCCCCCCAGAAGGTAGCCCAGAGCCCTTGGCCCAGGTCAGGCTGCTGGTGCCCTGACCTGCTTCCCGTCCGCTCCTGCTGCCTGGCCTGGCATGTTGTGGGGCTCACACTGTCCAGGTTCGTGGCCATGGGCTGGGGGTGGGAGGGGCAGGGTGGGGGTGGAGGCTGAGGGCAGAAATGGAGGTGCCCCTCCCCCATCAGGCCTGGCCCTCAGCCCCCCGGGAGGAGTTCTAGCTTGGGCTGGCCAGCTCTGGCTGCCAGCACACAGGGTGGGGCTCGGGGCAGCAGGGCCTCTGTGCTCCACGCTGATGCATAGTTCTGGGGTGAGACACAGGCTCTGTGCTGTCAATCACGCTGCGGGTGCCGGAGGCCACCAATGGTTAGGGTAGCCCCTGCCAGACAGGCAGAGGGCCTGGTGTTCCTGGCTCATGGCCCCAGAGGACACATCCCAGACCAACACCCTGCATGGGCCTATGAGTCACAGGCACCTGCACATGTCCAGCGCCTCCCCATGGCACCCTCTCCTGTGGTTCCCACCTGAGGGTCCAGGCGTGGCCTGGGCTGTCCCTCAAGCCCCTGGTTCCTTGGCTGTGGAACGGAATGAGAGACCTTAGCTAAAGAGGTGGCCCAGTGTTGGGCTCAGCTGAGGGGGCCCCTGTGGGGGCTGTGAAGTGCACGGACTGCTCAGGTGAGTCCGTGAGGTCTGCGGCCACTGCAGCCGAAGGGCAGGGTGGGGGAAGGGAGGGGCCTCCCCAGGAGGTGGCAGTGGGCCATGTGGAGGGGGACAGAGATGGGGCTGGAGC